CTCCTGTTGTTGTCTGTACTGTTCTGCTTTTAAAACTCGTCCCCCTCCCCGACTGAGGGTCACTGAGCCAGTGAAGCCCTCTGGGCCGTTCTTCCGTGGTTGTTGTGGGCTTTGCAGGTTTTCTACCTCTTTTTTGGGTTTTATATTTTTCTTGGAGTACTAGATAGAATGAAAGATTTTCTAACTTACTGGTATAACCCTGGTAAAAAATGAAAACTCCTTGAGAGATCAAGTCAATGGTCAGTGCCGTGTCAGAAGTGAGAGTGGACCCTCTCTTAGAGGGCCATGGCTTCAAGCGTTGTCCCAGATGGAATCCTGAGAAGTAGTGAGCAGCCCACAGTTTCAAGTTGAGGGAAGGAAACAGACCAAATGCACAGAGAAGCAGGTACCATGAGTGGAAATAAAGCACCATCAGTAGACACAGGTCTGCAAAGACCAGATATTTAAAAGTTGTGTCTGATATATGCAGAGATTTAAAAGAAACTTGAAAATTCCAACAGGAACAGGCAATCTTGAAAATGTGGTTCACATGTAGGTCATGATTACCTAGGCTTAGTATTAAATCCTGAGAGGAGCCATAAACCTGAATTTTTGTGTAAATATTCCAGACTTCAGTTGTTGGCAACTCACCTCCTGATTATCTGTCTGTTGGCGCTGTTTCTTAGTATCATGGTCTTAGCTGTTGCTCTGACCCAGGCTGCCGTTCGCATCCTTCACTTGCACAGGCTCCTGGGAGCTGGCGCGGAACCTCTGGGTAGCAAGCATGGGGCGCTGCAGCTGTCGTCTGTCGTATCTGTGAGGGTATAACGCGCTGTTGCACCTTCTGCTGTAGTCCCTTGAATGTTAAGAAACTGGGGAACAAATAGCCTCGCTCACATTCACCATTCCTGGTGTCCTTCATTTCTTCCTAAAGGTCCCAGGATCAGTCTGGTCTCATTTCTCGTCAACCTCAAGAACTTCTGTTAACATTTCTCATAGTGAAGATCTGATGGCAACAACTTCTTAATTGGTATTTCTTTTAAAATATATTTAGTCATCATTCTTACAGAGTATTTTTTCTGGATATCAGATACCAGGTGGACAGTTGTTTTTTTCTTTTCCCCCATTACTCTAAGCATGTCTGGCTTCTATTTCTCATGAGAAGTGAATGACCATCCATGTCATTGTTTTGTATTTAATGGGCCTTTTTTCCCCCTCTGCTCTTCAGAGTTTCTCTTTATCTTGGTTTAAATGTTTCCACTGACTATACCTGGGTGTGGGTTCTTTTACATATATCCTGCTAAGATTTGGGCTTCCCCTGTGGCTCAGCTGGTAAAGAATCCACCTGTAATGCGGGAGACCTGGGTTTGATCCCTGGGTTGGGAAGATCCCCTGGAGAAGGGAAAGGCTGCCCACTCTAGTATTCTGGCCTGGAGAATTCCATGGACTATATGTATGTATATATAGTCCACGGGGTTGCAAACAGTTGGACATGACTGAGCAACTTTCACTTCACTTCACTTTTGCTGAGATTTACTGAGCTTCTTGAATCTGTGAATTTATGTCTCACTGAATCTGAAAAGTTTTTCTGTTTAATTTTTCCCAGATGTTTTTTCTATCTCATTGTTTCTCCCCTCTCCTCTGGGTAGGAGTGGGAATCCAGACCCTTTGATGTTGGTCTATAGCATAAGCTAGAATTAAGATTACCAGGAGAAATATCAATAACCTGAGATATGCAGCTGACACCACCCTTATGGCAGAAAGTGAAGAGGAATTAAAGAGCCTCTTGATGAATGTGAATGAGGAGAGTAACAAAGCTGGCTTAAAACTCAACATTCAAAAAATGAGGATCACAGCATCCAGTCCCATCACTTCATGGCAAATAGATGGGGAAACAATGGAAACAGTGACAGATTTTATTTTCTTGGGCTCCAAAATCACTGCAGATGATTACTGCAGCCATGAGATTAAAAGATGCTTGCTCCTTGGGAGAAAAGCAATGACAAACCTAGACAGAGTATTAAAAAGCAGAGACATTACCTTCAAAGGTCTGTATAGTCAGAGCTATGATTTTTTTCAGTAGTCATGGATGGATGTGAGAGCTGGACAGTAAGAAAGGCTGAGCACTGAAACATTGCTGCTTTGGAACTGCGGTGGTGTTGGAGAAGACTCTTGAGAGTCCCTTGGACTGCAAGGAGATCCAACCAGTCCACCCTAAAGGAGATCAGTCCTGGGTGTTCATTGGAAGGACTGATGCTGAAGTTGAAACTCCAGCACTTTGGCCACCTGATGCGAAGAGCTGACTCATTTGAAAAGACCCTGATACTGGGAAAGATTGAAGGCGGGAGGAGAAGGGGACGACAGAGGATGAGATGGCCGGATGGCATCACTGACTTGATGGACATGAGTTTGAGGAAGCCCCGGGAGCTGGTGATGGACAGGGAAGCCTGGCGTGCTGCAGTCCATGGGGTCACAAAGAGTCGGACACTTCTGAGCGACTGAACTGAATTGGTGGAGTGTCTGGTTCCCCCAGTCCTCTGGAAGACCTATAATCAAACTCTGCTGGCCCTCAAGACCGGATGCCCAGCCCCTCTGTTGGCTCCCCAGGCTGGGAAGCCTGACTCGGCCCAGAACCTCCACAGCAGTGCTCACACTCTGGTGTCCTTATCCAGTCTGTGGGCCACCCACCCAGCGACTGTAGTATTTGATTTCATCCTGAGTGCGTTCCTCCTGCCGTCTTGCTATGGTTGCTTCTTTGTCTTTGGACGTTGGGTATCTTTTTTTGGTGGGTTCCAGCATCATCATTTTGATGGTTTTTAACAGCTAGTTGCAATTTTAGTACTTTCACAGGAGATGAGCACACATCCTGGTTTTATCCTGGATATTGTGAGTGATGCGCTGGAGACACTCTTTTTTCCCATTATGTTCTTCCTAAGAGTAGACTTTTTCTTTCAGTTGTGTTAAAATAACGTAACATTTACCATCTCACCATTTGAAAAAATTATTTGGCTGTGATGGGTCTTAGTTGAGGCACGCGTGATCTTTCAGTTGTAGCACAAGAACTCTTAGTTGCCGTGTGTGGAATCTAGTTCCCTGACCAGGGATCGAACCCAGGTCCCCTGCATTGGGAGTATGGAGTCTTGGCCGCTGGACCACAGGGAAGTCCCCCCTCTCAACCATGTTTAAACGTGCAGTTCAGGGTGTTAAGTACATGCACAGTGTTGCAGCCATCGCCACCAGCACTGTTTCATCTTGGGAACCTGGAACTTTGCCCCCGTTAAAACACCACCTCCCTGATCTCCCCTCCCCTGGTGCCCGCCCTCCTATGTTCTGTCTGTGGATTCGATTACGCACGGGAATGCAGCCGCTCAGTGTCTGTTAGTCTCTCGTGGCTGGCTGACTGCACTCCATAAGGCCCTCAAGGTCCCGCCGTGGCAGCTGTCCGCCTCCCCTTCCTGTCCGAGGCTTCAGCACGCCTCGCTCTGTGGGTGGACACAGGGCTCCGGTACCCCCGCATCCCTGCCTTCCATGCCGTGGGGTGTGTGTCGGTGGGCTTGCTGGGTCCTTTGGATTCTCTGAGGAAGCCCCGCTGTTTTCCTTCCTGTCCCACCCGCGGTGCACAGGGCTCCCCCCAGGCCCTGCTTTCTGTGTTTTGATAGTGGGTAGCCATCCTCATAGGTGCTGTGTGAGGTGGCATTTCCTTGGGGTTTTGATCTTTTCTTTTTTTGTTTTCGGTGGGGGGAAGGCCCTCACTGCATGACTTACGAGATCTCAGTTCCCTGACTAGGGATTGAACCCAGGCTCCCAAGAGTGAGAGCACAGAGTCCCGGTCGCCGGGCAGTGGGCGTGCAGGCCTGTGCACAGGCCGTGTGGCCTGGGGCTGGGCGGGTCTGTGTGTGCCCGCCGCCTGCGCTGTGCCCGCCGTGGCCCCAGCAGCCACACGTGTGCTCCTGTGCCTTGAGGTCGTCGGCTTCTCTTTTTGTCCAGCTAGTCTGATGTGAGCGGGGCTGGGAACCCACTCAGATTTGCCTTAGAACCCCGTGTGGGTCCTGGCGTGTGCTCGGTGCGTCAGCTGTTGGTGGGGGCGGTCCCCCGCTGCCTGGCTCCCACAGAGCTGGTCCACTGCTCGCGCGGCCCCCGGGGGTGTCCCCGCGTGGCGGTCCCTCAGGGTAACGGGGCTGAGCTCCGGTGCAATGCTGTCTATCGCGGGCACCCCAACGGGGGCGCTCAGTCTCAGCGCCCTGCTCTCCCCAGTAGGTCGTCTCGGAGGGCCTCCTTGCTGCCGTCATGGTGTGCTCCTGGTGGTCTGGGGGGGCTCTTCCCAGCGGAGTGGGCGCCTGCCTGTTCCCTGTGAGCTGCCTTCACTGGATGTCCCTAGTGAGGGGCTGCGGCTCCCGGGGAAGCCCCTCCGCCCCTGGGCCTCAGGCAGCCCATCTGGCCCTGGGTGCCGTGGGCGTGCTTGGCGTGCCCCATCCAAGGAGAACGGAGTGTCCTTGGCGTTGTGGCCCCTCCTTGTCCCTGCGGCCAGCACGGGCCAGGTGGATGGTGGGGAGCCTGCTGCGCCTCGCCCGGCCGCCTGGGCTTGAGCTTTGCTGCCCAGTGGCTGTGGGCGGGCCCGGAGCCCTGCCCAGCTCTGCTTCCAGCTGTCTCAGGTCCTCCCTCTGGTCCTCTGCCCAGGCCTGGCTTTTCACTGGCCGCCTTGGGTGCTGCCCTGGCGGCAGGTGGAGGGGACAGCCTCCGTTTTCCGAGGGCTCTAGGGGCAGTGGCGTGACTTCCTTTCCTCGCCTGACTTCTGTGTTCTGCCACAAAAAATCAGTCCTATATCCTTTCACTTTGTTGTTTTGTGACTCCTGTCATTTCTGTGATATTAGAACTGCCTGTTGGGACTGAAATCACAGCAAACACCATAAATTGCCTCAAAATCCCCGAAACTCCCCAAATGTATAAAGAGCTCCATTGGCATACTCATCATAGGTTTGAAATTAAGATGTTTCTCTTCTTCTCTTTTTCTAATGCTGCAGTGTTCTGAGACGGAGGCACCTAGGCTGAGTGGAACTCAGCGTCAGGAAAAGCCCCCTTTCTGCTCCGAAGGTGGTGGAGTGCGTGAAGATGAAGCAGGCCCCGGAAGTCCTGGGCAGTGCCAGTGGGAAGTCCCCGAGCTGCGACGTGAGCCGCGAGTGCTCCGTCTTCCTGAGCAAAGCCCAGCTCTCCGCCGGCCTGCAGGACGGGGTCGTGCAGAAGTTCAACGGCCACGACGCGCTGCCGTTCATCCCGGCCGAGAGGCTAAAAGACCTCACCTCCCGCGTCTTTAATGGAGAGCCCGGTGCTCACGATGCCAAACTGCGTTTTGAATCCCAGGAAGTTAAGGGACTTGGGACCCCACCTCACACTACCCCCGTTAAAAATGGCTCTCCAGAAATTAAGCTGAAAATCACCAAAACCTACATGAATGGGAAACCTCTCTTTGAGTCCTCCATATGTGGCGACGGTGCGGCCGCCATGTCCCATTCGGAAGCAGACGGACAGAGACCAGAGCACAAGGCCCGGAGGAGCCGCAAGAGAAGTGCACAGTGTGGCTCTTTGCTGGAGCACGGCCTCGTGGAGGCCGCCCTGGTGTCCAGGGTCTCCAGTCCCATGGACAAAAAGGTATTTGTGAGCGAGGAGCTCTGGGCGGGTGGCAGGGGGCCTCGGAGGACACTCGACGTGCGAGAGGTGGTAGGAGGTGGGCGTGGCCCCCACGGCCTGCTCTCCGCTCGCCCTGTGTGCTTGGCTCGGGCGCCTGGCTATGCCGCGGGGACGCTCACATCCTGTTGAGCAGCACCAAGGCCTGGAGATGAACTGTGAAGACTGAATGAGGTTCTGAATCTGGGCCTGGCCATTCCAGAGCCCTTGGCCTTCAGGCGGTCCTGTTTTCACAGAGCTCCTCTCCGCCTGATGGCGGTCAGTGGGAGACCCCTTGGGCCTTCCTTGGTCTGTGCTGTCTGAGGAGGGGGCAGGCCTGCTGGCCTCCCCTCGGTCACTGTCCACCCGGGGCTCCTCTCGCAGGGGTCCTGCAGATGGCTCACCCCAGTGAGCATGGGCTGTGCCTCCTGCCTGCACACTCGTGGTGCCCAGCGCAGAGTGCGGTGCTAGAGTGTACGTGAATGCGTGTTCAGGCTTCGAAGGCTGGGTGGGAATGTGGGACGAAAACACGGTGTTTATGCCAGAAGTCTTCAGTGACGTGGGAACCTTGGCCCTGGCTCAGGAGCTGCAGAGTTGCTCTATGGCACCCCTGTTCCTGAGGGCTGGTGGTCTGCATTCACAGGGTCTGGCAGGCCTCTGTGTGCTGGTCAGGCGAAGCTCCAAGCCCGCTTTCAGGAGTAGGGGCAGGGGCTTGAGGCCAACTTGGGTTTCTTCTCACCAAGGCTGGAGTACTCACTGTAAAACTATAGTGAGGAATCTTGTTTGCGGTCCCGCAGAGAGGACGGGAAAGGACCGACGTTTCCCTGGAGGAGCTGAAACTGATGCAGACCTTCAGGGTTTAAGTGTCTGTTGGGAGCTGGGGCGGGCGCAGGGCGACTCTGACGCAGCCCCAGTGGCGGTGGCCTGGGCTGATGCGGCCCTGCTTGAAGCCCCTGGTGGGTCCATGCTCCTTTATAGGAAAGAAGCTGCCGGTTGGTTTTGTTAAGACTTGGGCAAGTCACCTGCTTTTGCCTCTCAGAGTCTGACTTCACCCTCCGAGTGGGGACAAATACTACCTGTCCTGAGGGCGTGGTGGCGAGGCTGAGTGTGATACTGGGATGTTGTGGAGCAGCCTGAGAGCCGGCGTCTTTGAGAAGTGTGTGATGTGCCTGCTCTGTGCCAGCCCTCACCCCCTGATGAGGCATGGTGACCACGCTGTCTTCCGTTCACGCCTGTGGGACTGAGGCTCAAAGCAGGTCAGCGATTCAGCTGTGCGCAGCCCCTGACGAGGACGCTGCTCTTGCCAGGCCTTCAGCCTCCTCCTGGCCTGGGTTCTGAGATGCAGTGACTGAGGCTCCGAGAGCCCAGGCCCTGGTTGGTGGAGGTGGGGCTGGGCCTGCTGCTGAGCCCCCGTGTCCTGGCCCCCCTGGGGTCTTCTCTCCCGAGGACTGACTGTCTGTAAGGGCTCAGAGGGGCAGAGGGCCAGAGGATGAATTCCATGAGAATTTTTGTCCAGCCTGCGAATAAACCTCCACTAAAGGCCTCCCACCAGGCCAAGGAACTGGATTTCTGCAGAAGTCTTTGTAATGCTGGGCACCTCTGTATGCTGACAGAGGTACTTGCTGACCTTTTAGCTGAGGGCAGGAGATGAACAGTTTTGATGAAGTGCTATCAGGACTGTTACCTAAAAAGCAGTGAGGGAACCGTGAGGGAAAGCACACTTCTTTTTAGGTGTGTTTGTACATGTGTGTGTATAGAATCTCTGATCTGACTCACCCTTGGTCTTCTGTGGATAGGAAGCTGGATTTAGGGGTAGGTACTCGATGTATCTCTTGTTCATTTTCAGATTCCCGCTAAGAGAGAATCCTGTCCGAACAGCAACAGAGACAAAGACCAGCTGCTGAAGTACAATGTCGGGGACCTGGTGTGGTCCAAGGTGTCCGGTTACCCCTGGTGGCCGTGCATGGTCTCTGCCGACCCACTCCTGCACAGTTACACCAAACTGAAAGGTATCGTGTTTAGGGGGCTGCTTTTCCAACTTTGTCTCCTGCACTTGATTGTTCTCATCTCCCAGCTTCTTTCTTCCTCTTCCTCCAGCAGCCCTGCTGTGGTTCTTTATTCCCCTTTTTTATTGTGCTTTAATGTGCAGACATGAGACTTAGCGTCCTAACCGAGTGCGCAAATAGTGTATGAAGTGCATTCACATTGCCATATAGCGGTCCCCACCATCTGTGCCCAGAGCTCTGCTCACTCTGTAAACCTGAAACTCTGTGCTCGTGAGGTGGCAGCTCCTCAGTGCCCCACCCCAGGCCCTGGCGGCCCCCTCCGCTTCTGGCCTGCTGTCTGTGGTGTGGGTTTGCATCTCCCCAGTGATGAGTGATGTTGAGCATCTTTTCATGTGCCTATTAGCCATTCATACAGCATTTGAATCGGCTTGTTGGTGGGGGTGGGTTTGATTGTTAAATTTTTTGTGGTTCATTTTGCAACTTTGAAGTTAGTGATTCAGACATGACACATTACTTTTTTTTTACATCCAACTTAGATATGTACTTTATCTGATTGAATTAGTATTAAAAGAGAATGGTCTTTGCCTTGTCATTTGCTTTTCAGGTTTTATGATAATTTATTATTATTTAAATATATAGTAATTACTTATGTCAGCATGATTTTCAGAAATTAGTATTTTATATTGCATTTTAGTTTAAAAAATATCCCAGTTTATTTTATTAGGTGGGAAAAAGGAAAAAAAATAGAGATAATCATCTTTGGTGTCATGAAACTTGAGTTATAAATCAGAGAAGTTAGAGAACATATTAAGAATGTAATGTGTTATTGATACAGATTAGAGCAGATGCTTAAATAATAATTGGACAATTCATGAAACATAAGATCTCTTGTGGTTTTGGAGGAAAAAAAAGAAATCGGATAATTTGAGAGTCTCATAAGCAGTTCTTCTAGAGTGAAGTTTGACTTTGGTGTGAGGAAGGTGAGGTGTGGAGATGCAGGGTTGGAGCTGGCTGCGTTGGTGCCCAGGCGACGGTGCCCTCCAGCTGCGTGGGCAGCAGGTTGGGGCCTGCCTGGTGTGGCCCCTCTCGCCAGAGGTCTGAACCTTGCTGGGGCCTTGCTGCTGGGAGTGGGGTGCAGCAGTGCCCCCTGGCGGGCAGCCTGGGAGGCGCAGGTCAGGATGAGAGGCCCTCCCCTGCATCCCGAGACGCCGGCGCGCACGCGCGTGGTGAAGGTGTGCAGGACACTGGGGCTGGGGAGGGGCCTGTGGGCCGGTTCTGGTTCTGACTCGGTACAGGATGTGTAGCTTCGTCAGCTTGTCAGCATGAGGGAGTCCCTGTTGGGACTTCCGGGGCCCCAGGATGCACCCCAGAGGCCTCTGGACTTGGTCAGAGTAGGACAGAAGCACCAGTTGAGGCAGAAGCCAGGCTGTCCTGCTGTGGTCGGCATGGGCCTTCTGACCTGGTGGCAGCCCCCCTCCCAGCTCCAGGCGGTCCGGGCAGCGGCCGTCCAGGCCCCCACACCTCCACACCACTCGTCTGCAGAGCACGTCATAGGCAGCCTCTCGGGGTCCTTCTTAGCGTTGGGATTTCTGCTCCATTCAGCCTCCTCGCACCTCAGACCGTAGAACTGAAGGCGTCCTTCCGTATCTCTTTGTTCCAGCTACCGGGGTTAATTAAGTTCATTACACGTTCCCCCGATTTAGGGTTGAGTAGTTTCTATGGTCTACAGCAGCTTCATCCCTTCATGGCAAATAGATGGGGAAACAATGGAAGCAGTGAGAGACTTTATTTTTTTGGGCTCCAAAATCACTGCAGATGGTGACTGCAGCCATGAAATTAAAAAAAGACGCCTGCTCCTTGGAAGAAAAGCTATAACCAACCTAGACAGCATATTAAAAAATAGAGACATTACTTCACCAACAGAGGTCCATCTAGTCAAAGCTATGGTTTTTCCAGTAGTCATGTACGGATGTGCGAGTTGGACTATAAAGAAAGATAGTCACCAAAGAATTGATGCTTTTGAACTGTGGTGTTGGAGAAGACTCTTGAGAGTTACTTGAACTACAAGGAGATCAAACCAGTCAGAAGGCTGAGAGCCGGGATGAGTTGCAAGGGGATTCAGATGACCTTTGGAAAGCAAAGGGGTCAGAGGAACCTGTGAGGCTGTGGGGTTGGCCTGTGCCGTGGCCCCTGCTCAGGAGGTGTGGACCAGAGTGTCTATCCAGTTATCTAGGAAATCAACCCTGAATACTCATTGGAAGGACCGATGCTGAAGCTGAAGCTCTTAATACTTTGGCCACCTGATGCAAAGAACTGACTCATTGGAAAAGACCCTGATGTTGGGAAAGATTGAGGGCAGGAGAAGGGAACGACAGAGGATGAGATGATTGGATGGCATCACTGACTCAATGGACATGAGTTTGAGCAAACTCCAAAAGTTGGTGATGGACAGGGAGGCCTGGTGTGCTGCAGTCTGTGGTGTCACAAAGAGTCGGACACCATTGAGCGACTGAGCTGACTGCAGCTTCCCTGAGTGAGACGGATGCACCACCGTTGGTGTGCGTGCTCTGGCTTGGCGCTTTTGCACTTCTGCTTAAGGAACCGCAGCAGTGGCTCCTGGCTGAGGCACGGACTCTGAAGAGTCGGCTGCCAGGGCGCGGCCCAGCTGGCAGTGAGCTGCTCCTCGGTGTCGCTAAGCTCCAGAGATTCTTAGGGCATCTTCCCTAAGTGTGAGAGACAGAGGTGATGATAACGCTACTTTTGGGGAAAGATCTCAGCACAGAGAGTGGTGACCTATCAGATATTATCATCCTCTTTTTTTTAACTTTTGAAACCAGAGTTTATGTTCTATCTACCCCCTCTCCCCTGGTCCCCTCTGGGCTTTTTACAGAAAACATTGCTGTTTGAGCAGTTAACCCCCCTGCAGGATCCTTGTGTTTGGTGATTTAATAATTCTGTGCCCATTTTCAGTGTTTTATGTTGCGAAGTATTCCCCCAACTTTCCCAATGCCAAGTGGGTACACTTGGATTCTGTCTTGTTTTTCATGTGAAACATTTTGTTTATTATTTGTTGTTTGTTATTGTTTTTTCCCCATATAGAAGCTTTTCAAGCCCACACTTCAGAGTGGAACAGTGCTGTGGACGTCATCCACTCTCACCTAGACTTGCCAGCCCTTAAATGCTTTGTTTCACCTGCTCTGTCTCTCTCTCTTGTGTATAAATATATTCCCCTTTGCCAGCTCAGCTGAGTGGGTGCTGCACCCATCCTGACTCTTCACCCTAACTTGTCAGCGGGAGTCCTCCCGGAACAAGGCCAGTACCCCACCTGCGTGTGAGAAAGTGGCCCATCAGTAACTGACCCTTCGTCTCTTGGGGCCTTGCTTAGATCTCCCGGGAGGCTCCAGTGTGGCCATGCACTTGCTCTTTTTTTCACCCTGAGGTTGAGTCTGGGTGCCCCCCAGCCCCTGCGGGTGAGAGCAGACTCGGGCCCGCAGAGGCAGGCGAGCACCACGCAGGTGGGGCCCAGACTTGGCCCTTCACTGAAGACCTTGAAGGAAGGTTCGGTCCAACAGTGTGCTTCACCAGGAGCTGTCTTGGGTTGCAGGGGAGGCAGCCTTGGTCAGCACAGGCCAGCTTCAGAGGACTGACAGTGTGCCTTTGGAAAGCAGTTCAGAAGGCTGAGAGCCAGGATGAGTTGCAAAGGGGATGACCTGTGGAAAGCGAAGGAGTCAGAGGAACCTGTGAGACCGTGGGGCTGGCCTGTGCCGAGGCCCCCGCCCAGGAGGCTTGGACCAGAGTGTCCAGTGGAGGCTGGCTGCTGTCTCGCTGGCTGACCTGTGCTGCGCCCGGGGCCCGGCTCCCGACCGCCGCCTCTGAGGTTTGGCCCTCCCTGAGGGCCCTCTGGCCCGTTAGTGCTCTCCATTTTCATCCTCTTCTCATGGTTAAGGAGCTGGCGCTTTTCTGAAGGGGACCGTCAGAAGGTTACTTATGTATTGAAGGTTGCAGTCTTCACTCCCTTTAACACTCCCATTGTTGCAGATGTGGCCTCGGGGAGCCCATGAAGTCCCTTCCAGCTGTGTGCCCCTGCCCTGGCTCTGTCTGTCTTGGAGCGCTTCCTTATGTGTGCGAAACACGAACCACACTCCAGGCCCCCTTTACACTTTCTTTGCCCCAGTCCTTGAAACAACTGTTCCTCAGAGGAAGCCTGGGTCCTTTTAGTGGCGAGTGGTGTGTGGACGCCCAGGTCTGGGCTCTGGCTGTGTCCAAGGCCTGGAAGGCAGAGGACGGAGTGTGAGGCGGGTCTGCGGGCATGCTGCCCTCGCTCCCTCTGCGGCACCTGCGATGGTGGGCCTGAGGCTCAGGAGTCCTTGCTGGGAGGACGGCATGGAGGAGGGTGGCTTCGGGTGTGGAGCTGGCTGAGCAGGGGCTTGGAAAGCGAGGCCTTTTGGTTCCTGTGAGATGGAACTCCCTCACCTACCCCTGATTCCCACCCGGATTTTCTCTCTGTGTATGTGCTTCTTTTTACTCATCATACTTGGGATCAGAGAAGTACTTGAATCTGAATCAGTAGCAACACATTTAAGCTCTTCTTAAAAGATAATTTCATTTATTTATTTTTGGCGGTGCTGGGTCTTCTTGCTGTTCGGTCTTTTCCCCAGGTATGAGTGGGAGCTACTCTCTGATTGCAGTATTTGGGCTTCTCATTGTGGTGGTGTCTTTGCGGCGCACAGGCTTAGTAGTTGCAGCGCGTGGGCTCGGCAGCCCCGTGGTTCCCGGGCTCCCGGGCACAGGCTCGGCAGCCGTGGTTCCCGGGCTCCCGGGCACAGGCTCGGCAGCCGTGGTTCCCGGGCTCCAGGGCACAGGCTCGGCAGCCGTGGTTCCCGGGCTCCAGGGACGTGGTTCCCGGGCTCCCGGGCACGGGCTCGGCAGCCGTGGTTCCCGGGCTCCAGGGCACAGGCTCGGCAGCCGTGGTGCGTGGGCTTAGTTCCTGCACAGCGTGTGGGATCGTCCCAGATCAGGGATCAATCCTGTGTCTCTTGCGTTGGCAGGGGGATTCTTTACCACTGAGCCACCAGGGAAGCCCACACTTGAGCTGTAAGAACTGAAGCAGAATCTTACGTGTGAAAGAGAGCACAGCTGTTTAGAGTTCAGGTTTCCTTTGCAAATCTAATGGTGTTTTTGTCATTTGTAGCAGCTGAACTTGTCTTGGCGACTGCCTGCCAGGGCATACAGATGGATGAGCCAGCAGCTCTGAGGCCTGACCCTCTGGGTTGGAATCAGGAGATCAGTGGTGTTTTGGGTATTACACTGTGAAGAAGACTGGGTTCTTCTGCACCTGGGAGCGTTACCATCTCCCAGGTGCACCTGGATCCTACTGGTCTTCCCTTTAGGTACTGGGGCCTCAGTCAGATTCTCTTCTGTTATGCAGATTTTCATTTTCACCTTTTCTGTGTCATGGAAAGGAACCCTGATTGCTGTATTTCTAAATTCCAGCGTTTTCTGAAAATACTACAGGTAATCTGACTTTCTCACCTTTGGAGTTACTTGCTACTGTGAGTTTTCCTTTCTGCTTGTTCTGTCAACTAGGAAGAGAGGTGTGTGAGGATCTCCCACTGTGGTGGTGGATGTGCCCGGTTCCATTTGAGGTTTTGTCAGTTTCTACTTTATCTGTTTTGGGGCTCTGGGGACCTCCAGGGACCGAACCAGGAAGTGTGGACCTGACCATCATTGTTCTGTTTCCCATGGAGCAGACTCTGGTCTGCTTGGTCTCACTCAGGTTCAGGATCCACCTTGTGTCTGATGGGCCGCGATGGGGAGGAAGTGAGTGCAGTACAACGTTAAAGTGCCTCAGCTAGTGGTGGAGGCCAGGTTCTCTCAGGAAGGAGTGCAGGTGGGGCCTCAGTGACCAATGTTTTCCTTCCAGCTGTGAGGATGAAAATCCAAGGTCACAGGGAGGAAGGGTTGCTAACAGGTGGTGGGACAGTTGGTTAATTATGGTGGTCAAAGAAAGTAAGGAATTCACCTCTCAATTTGGACCAGAATAAAATTCAGATGGATTAGAAAAAACCTTAAAAATAAGAGAAACTTGGGTTACGTTTGTTGTGAAATTTCTGAGCAGAAAAGAACTTTAAAAATGTTAAATTAATTTTATAAGCTTGGGATCAGCCTGTCATATTCTCTGATTTCCTTTTTTTTTCTAGCTGACATGTAAGGAGCATTTTTACTGTCTTTAGCTATTTTTAAAAATTATGTGTGTTCATATTATATGTTCAAATATGTACCATAACATTTTTCTTAATTATGCAAATGCTATGGCATATATCTCTATTCATTTTCATGATCAAGAGGTCTTTTGAAATACTAAAATAATGAAAGCAGTCACAAATCTCTTGGCATAGTTTTGAATCTGAGCTATTTTAAAATCAAAGAAGTATAGACACTTATAAACAAGTCAAATTGTCCTGAGAGATTAATAGTGAAAAATAGTCCCCTGTCCTCCCCAGAAGTAATTATTTTAAACTCTTTAAACATTTTCTTTTGGTTTCAGCTACTCTTTTATCATCTAGATATCTTCTGTTGACTTTCTATTATGGTAAATGAAGATTGATCTCTTCAATCATTTCCTGTTTCTTTCCCTTCCATTCTTCCCATATAATTAACTCACTGTTTTTATTACATCAAACATCAGTGTTCATTTAATTTTGACTATGTAAATATCATTCAGTGAAAAACTCAGCTGTGTTCTGTAATTGCGTTTTATTTCTTGTACAACCTTTTGTCTTTTTTCTGGAGCTAACTATTGAATTTCTTGTGAAATTGTATAGTTCGCTGCCATTTAGCTTTAATTTTTTCAAGTATTTATTCTTCTGGCTTTAAAACTCATCCTGTCATGTGGTGAGTTTCTCTGATTGGGGGGAAAATGGAACGCTCGCTGTGTTCAAGTCCCACTTCCTTTCTGCTGCTCGGACCTCCTTCGCCCGCCTTCCGCACCGCCTGGTCTCCTTCCATGCGATCTCTGTCCCCTTGCTCGCGCTCCTGGAGCCCCGCTTCCTCCTGCCTCACTGTCTCTGGCCAGCAGGCACCTGAGACTCTGAGATGCTTTCCTGGTTACCGTATTGTTTCTGTGGCTCCACGCTGTGCTCTTTCTTGGTCAGTTCTCCTTTTTTGCTGCAGCGTGGTTTTTGGCATCCTGAGGAAGGGCTGGGGGTCACTCTGAGTTCCTGGGTTTGGAGGGTGCGGCTATCATCACACTCAATTTTCGGGTTGGCTGGGTGTGGAATTTTATGTTGAACATAATTCTCAGCATTTTGAAGGTGTTACTGCATTTCCTTCGAGCATCCAGAGTTGCTGTTCTGCTTGTCATTTCACGAACATGGAGCTGTCTCTTCCTCCCCAGCAGCTTGGCTGTCCCCAAGGTGTGCCCGGACGTGGGTGTTGGGTGCAGCGCTGGGAGGGGTTGGTTCTGACGCGTGTCCCTGTGTTTGGTGATTCCCTCATGGGTCTCTCTGTTTTTCTCTGTGGAAGGCCAGCTATTTGGGTCTCACATCTCCTGTACAGATTAATCCTGTTAGTTTCTTATGAGAGTAGGAGTTTTCACTTTAACTTTTTTCTTCTTTCTGGGAGATTTCCTACCTTTCCACTGAAATTTTCTTCTTGAGTTTTATTTTCGTGGTAGTGTTAAATTTCAAATGGTGCTTTCTCTCTGTTGTCCTCTTCTGACAGCAGACTAGAATTCGTGTCTGTCAGGCGTCATCTCCTCCTGGCGTGGTGTCTGTGGCCCTGCAGAGACTGTTGATTCTGTGTGCTTTGCACTCCTTCCTGTTCGAGGCTCTCTGGGTCTGGGGTGCCTGCGCTGGGCCTTCTTCCAGAGGACGGCACTCAGCTGCCTGAGGCCTGTAGGGGGCGCTGTTGGCTTGTGTTAGAGGCGCTGACTGGTGGTCGCCTGGTTGAGGGAATCTCCAGCTTTTGGGGCAAAGACAACATGGGAAGTTCTTCCTGTGGTGTGCTGGTTCCCCGGGAAGTGTGCTTTGCTGCCTCGTGTCCGGCGTGCTGTGTGAGGGCACAGGGACCAGGATTCCCCATGGGCAGCCCTTCTTTCCTCACCCAGCTCCCCGTCTGCACCGGGGGTGTGGCTTCTGCAGCATCTGGGGGCACTCCGTGGCCTCAAGCTGCCCCCTCGCCATACCACCCCGCAGCGTGGTGAGGGCAGGGCCGGTCCGGCTCCCCGGCTGGCGTGGAGGGGCTGGGATTGGAACCCACGCTGCCCGGCCCTCGCTGGTGTCGTCTCTGCTTTGACTGACGTAGTATCCTCTTTGGTGGCTCTTGGAAGGGAGGAGATGAGAAGTAAATCTGGTCAGCGTTCTGTCCCGGTCGACTTTGAACCCTGTCTAAGTCTTGCAAATGTATTTCCCCTTTTGCTGTAGAGTGTGGTGGGGGAAAAAAAAGGATTTATTTTGAGGTTAACGGAGTCCAACAGTACCAAGTAAAACGACTTCAAAGCCGCTCCTAACTTGATATCAGTAATTATTAATAGATTTGCCTAATTTCATCCCAAATTCTAACTTTCAAGTTCTAACATTTTATTTTAAAAACTAGGTCAGAAAAAGAGTGCACGCCAGTATCACGTACAGTTCTTTGGTGATGCCCCAGAAAGAGCTTGGATATTTGAGAAGAGCCTTGTAGCTTTTGAAGGAGAAGGACAGTTTGAAAAATTATGCCAGGAAAGTGCCAAGCAGGCACCCACGAAAGCTGAGAAAATTAAGGTGACAGATGTTCCTTAAGTACAATTTTAGACCAAACTTTTATTTTCATTCTTAATGATGTGTCTTGCTTTGAACTTGTGGCTGCCTGAAGCCGTGTGGTGGCCTCTCGAGTCGGTCACTGCTGGCTTTGCCTGGTGCCGTGTGTCCCGCAGCACGGCGGCTTTGGGTGGACACACGGTTTATCCTGTTTACTCTTGTGATGACGCCCAGGGGCAGTCTTTCTAAGTTTTGTTTTCCTTTATGTACACACACACACACACACACACACACACACACACACATGATATATATAAGTATTAATTGTAATTGCAATTGATTTCTAGTTTAAAGAAACAGTAGAGTTATACTGGTCTGAACTCTAAAACCTTCAAGTTAATTGGTTTTTATAGTTTTTGATTTCTGAATTTACCTGAAATTCTAAAAGTATCCTTTAAAGTAAGTTAACTTTTAATGTTTATTTGGTGAAACTTACACGTGTCTCATGTTTTCTTTGCAGCTGTTGAAGCCCATTTCAGGGAAGTTGAGGGCGCAGTGGGAAATGGGCCTCGTTCAGGCTGAGGCCGCCGCACGCATGGCGGTCGAGGAGCGGAGAGCCAAGTTCACCTTCCTCTACGTGGGGGACCAGCTCTGCCTCAACCCCCACGTGGCCAAGGAGGCGGGCGTGGCTGCGGCGTCGCTGGGAGAAGCCGCAGAGCCCTCGGGAGCTGGGGAAGAAGCTGCAGACAGCCCTAAGTCCTCGGGGGAGGAGGGCGCACCCGTCAAGAGGAGACGGAGGGCCAAGCTGTCCAGCTCCGCTGAGAACCTCCCCGGCGACCCAGGGCCGGGGCGGGCCACGCCGCAGAAGACGGCCGAGGCCGACTCCAGGAAGGGCATGGGGTCCCCCCCCGGCAGGAAGAAGGCCACAGCCCCCACCCCAAGGAGCAGGAGGGGCGACACGGCGTCCCAGTTCCTGGTCTTCTGTCAGAAGCACCGGGACGAGGTCGGTGTGGGGGCGCTCTGAGGGCGTGTGCTTTCTGGGGGGGTCTCACAGGGCCTGGCCCGCAGCCCCCAGCGCTGTTGGCCGGGCCGCACTGCGCCTCCTGTGCACGCGGCTCTCGGGCAGCTGTCGTTAGGGGGAAGCCAGTGCGACCCTTGGAGGCAGAGATCCTTGCCTTTGTGCTCTAGAATATTCCTCCCAACTACGGTGGGAAGGTCCAGGGACAGTGGGAGGTGGGCTGCTCTTTGCTAGAAGCTTGGCCTTATCCTTATCCAGCCCATGTTAGCGCCTTCTCCAGGAGGCAGCTCAGAAGCCTCCAGGAGGTGGTACGGGGTTGGATTTACGGAACCTGATGCTACCATGGGCCTGGGCATGTCAGGCACCTGCTGCCGTGGTGTGTGAAGGGCGGCATGGTGTCAGCGGGTAAACATTTGACTAGTTTTCTTTATCGTTTTCATAGAGTGGACCAAGCTTATTTGGATATCGTCAAGTCTTGAGTCCGCTTTAAGGGCTCAGGCCGGCATGTTTGGTTCTTTGCTGTTACTTGAAATGAGTGGGTTGTTGGGACTTTTCTCAGGATTGTAAGGCAGATGTGATGTTAGAAAGCCTGTTGTGATTCATCATTGTAGATTAAATAATCATCTCAGTAGGTGGAGAAAAAGCATTTGATAAAAGTCATTGCTTTCTTCTGGTCACGCCATGTGGCTTTTGTGGTCTTAGTTCTGTGACCAGGGATTGAACCTGAGTGGTCGGCAGTGAGAGCATTGAATCCTCACCCCTGGACCACTGGGGAGGTCCTTAGTAGTGATTGCTTTTTGATACAAAGTTAGCAGGCAGGAGTAGAAGGGAACTTCCTTCTGTCTGCTGAGGGGTGACTTTCAGAAACTGTTAGCATCATGGTGGTTGAGGAGACTTCAGAAGCGTCCTCTCTCGAATCATGAACAAGGCAGGGTGCCCTTGTGCCGCCACTGGTGTCAATGCAATGACGCATGGCCATGCAGCAGGAGGGGGCCCCGCAGCAGAGCCCCAGCCCAGGGAGCGGGTGACACGGAGCAGCCAGTGCAGGGGGCTGGGGCGTCACGTGTCTGTGAGGCTGCGAGGAGGGAAGGTGACAAAACAGCTGTGACTTTGGAGAAAAGCGACTGGTGTTGTAGCAGACCTCAGTAGAGAGTAATAGGAAGGTTCACTATTCTGAAGCTAGAGTTGTCATCCCCCTCTGTTAACTTTAAGTCCGGTGTGCTCCCGGGAAGCTCTCAGCAGGAATGTCTCTGCCTTTTAAGCAGATGCTAGCATAGCCATGTTGGAAGGGAAGCTCAGCCCGAGGACTGGCCTTGCACAGAGGAAGCTCTTATGCCAACAGTGGCTCTGCCGCTCAGGACGGGCGCTGGCCCACACTGCTGACTTCAGAATTCAGCGGCTCCAGGAGGAGAGTTCTGTCAGTGTAGGAGAGGGAGGGCTGCTTCAGCCAAACAGTTCACAGACCGTAAAGGAACGTTGTTAAAGTGAAACGAGAGCTACGTGTGCAGAGCTCAGGATAGTCCTGGAGGAGGAAGGGGAGAGGCTTTGAGAAGAGCAGGTCCTAGAAGACCGTGGGTGCCAGTGAGCTCAGAGTGGCTGCTGAACCCAGGCCAGGGGCAACCACACATCATGGTCACCGCACGGCCAGCACCTCTGTGACCAAGGGCCTGAGGCTGTGGTGGGAATCCACATGCAAGGCTGTGGAGGCTCATTCCTTACATCTAGTTTCAAGAGAAATTTGGCAATATCTAGTGAAACTGAAAATGCACATTCTTTTTGTCTTACAGTTTCACCCCTAGGGATTTGCCCTAGAGAAATTTCACCCTAGCACGATGTTCAGAGCTGTAAGGTGTTATGGTAAGGCCCAGCAGGCGGTGGTCTGCTCCTGCAGTGTTGCTCAGACAATCATGAAGGCGGCCTCACTCCGCGTCCAGGATAGGGACCCTCAGATCCCATCACGACAAGAGTGAAAGTGTAGCACGCTCGCCTGCGGCCCGCCTGTGCCTCCCTGCCTCCTGTGCCTGTCCACAGAGGCTGGGCGTATCCAGGCCCGTGCCGGCTCAGGTGCCAGGTGGTGCCGCCGTGACAGCCCTGCCCGCCAGCCACGCTCGCGCCGGTTCCCAGTCTGCATCTCCCTAGAATCTCACTCATCGGAGTTTATGAGAGAGACCTCAGGCCGCTTTCCAGAGGACGCCCTTTCTGCTGTGGGGATCCACATTGCTCTTAGTCAACCCTCTTAGCACTAAGGTACGTGCCAAGAGCAGGCAGGCTGACCGCGCCAACCGGTGCTGAGGGGCTGTGCCTCAAGCCCAGAGCCCTGGGGCTCAGTGCGCCTCTCTGAGCTTCCTGCCAGAGCACTGCTGTGGGCACCCCAGCGCACGTTCACCCCAGACGCCCGCCTGGCCCTGTCCCTGTGGGCTGGGGCGCACAGGCCCGCCCTCCTGCTGGGAGCGGGGCTGGGCGGGCTCTGAGGGTCTGGCTCTGTCGGGACGATGTTTGCCGGTTCCTGCAGGGGTGTTGTGCTGGCTCTGTAGTAAGTGATGCTGGTCTTGAGTGCAGGAAACTGCCGACTCCAGCCTGTAGAATGATGTGGCTTTTCTAGGTGCTTTTTTCCTATGGAGAGTCGCCATGCACCCCAGGGTAGTTTTTGTTTGGTTGTTACTGAATCGGTGGCCGGCCCTGGAGGGATGGAGTCTCCTTTTCTGGACTCACTAGGTAGAAGACTGTGCCCGCTGAGGACATCTGGTCACCACTTGCTGCCTGCTTTTAAAACCAGTTTCCAGCTCTCTTCTTAGACACGGAGACGAGCGCCGTGCTTCTGGCAGTGGCTTGAGTTCTTTGTCACACGCTTTGCTCTTTAGTCTTCGTACAGCAGGCTTAGATTGGCTGCGCCGCCCTGGCTCCTCCTGGGGTCCAGCTCCTGGGCTGAGGGCTTCCCCCCACGTCCAGCTCCCCCTGAGGCAAGGGAGTGGAGCGTGCAGGACGCGGGTCCATGGGGCAGAGGCCCCTGCAGGGACCAGGGCGGGGGCATGACCCCCAGCAGCCAAGCGGTGCCCGCATGTGGTTTGCAGGCCTCCCGCTGGGTCAGCCTAGCGCGTCGTGTCAGTGGCTCACCTGTTGTTGGCTGTGCCGGGCCTCAGTTGCGGTGCGCGGGCATCTCTGGCTGTGGCGCACGCTCAGTAGTGGTGCTCGGGCTTAGTTGGCCTGCGGGACCTCAGCGCCCAGACCAGGGACTGAGCCCCTGAGTTCTGAGCCTTCGGACCACCGGCCAAGTCCCCAGGAGCAGATTTATTGGCAGGTGTTTTCAACACAGCTTCTGATTTTTAAACGATCTCTTCCCACTTTATCTGACCCTGATTTTTACAGCTCCTTTAGAGGGTGGCAGTGTTTAGTTTCAGTTCTTTGGATGTACCTTTGTATTGGGTTCCTGTTTGGGTCACCTCAAAGCTCAGTGGCCTAAAACAACCACCTGCATTGGTGATCTCAGAGGCTGTGGTTTGGGATTTTGGGAGCAGCTTGGCGGTTCTGCCTCAGCATCTCTCGTGAGGTCGCTTTAAGATGTCAACTTGGTGGGGCTGCGTCACCTGAGGGCTGGCCTGGGGCTGAGAACCCTCCCCAAGGTGCCATGTCCTGCGGCCACGGGGCCTCTGTCCCTCACCGGGTGGCCTCTCCAGTAGCTGGGTGTGTGTGGGGGGGCGGGTGTGTGTCATCAGAGCAGGAGGCCAGCCCCCCAGCAGGTGGTCCCTGGGCCGGGGGGCGGAGGCCTTCCCTGCCCTGAACTCAGGAGGCTCTCCAGGGCGCATATCTGCAGAGGCTGAGGACGGGAGAGCCTCCTTCTGGAGTCTCAAGTTGTGCTGTGGGCTCGTGAGTACCTGGCTTTCCGTGTTTCCTTTTTCCAAGGAGAGGAAGGTTTCTGTGACTGTGACAGAGGGGCTGGGCGAGGAGACACGCACTGCAGACCCCACCTTTGTTGCCCATCCGGGGGCTGAGGAGGGGCAGGGAGTGCCCAGCCCTGCTGACTGTGCAGGGGCCCAGGCAGCAGGGGACTGGCGCCACGGGAGGGGCGCCCTGGCGCCGCCCACTGGCCTCTGCCGTGCGGGGGCGTGCGCGGCAGGAGCCTCAGAGGGCTGGGTGGGTAGGCACTGTCTCAGGGGCTGAGACCCTCAGGGAGGCTCCCCGGCCTGAGACGCTCACGGGGGGGGGCACCCCTCCTCCCTCTGGAAGCTCTGGGGGAGCAGAGAGAGTAGGGCCCTGGGGGCAAAGGTGGCCAAGAGGGGGCCTGGGAGGAGACTGGGGGGGCGTTGACGGCGGGCAGTGTGCTCTGTGGGTGGGCTGGTGGTGCCACCTCCCAGCGAGCTTGTCGGCAGCCCTTCGGTTCACCATGTCCATCAGGGTATAGTTGAGCCCTTCCTGAAGCATCTCTGGAGGCTGCTCCCGCCGAACTTGATCTTGATCAGGCTGTGGAGGTCTTCCTCTGGGACGACCGCTGCCTTCCCAGCCCTGGGTAGGGCCTGCCTTCCTTGCCAGCCTCCTCCCCGTGGGCATCTGCCCCCAGGCCAGGCTCTGCCCAGTGGCTCCCTCCTCATCCTGTGCCCAGACTCTGTCCGCTGCACCTGGCCCACCCCCGCCCGACATGGTTGGCTCGCTGGGGAGGTCAGGACTGCTGGCTTTGCGTGTTCTTGTGTGTCTGAGGTAGTTTATTAAAGCAGGCGGTGGTCACTGCGGAGCACACACCACACTTCAGGCCCATTGCCAGTACATTTCATGAGCAACTATGTTCAGTGAGGTTGGAGTGGTGACCCCTTCTCCCGTGGCCAGGGCCCCTTGCAATGAGAGTGAGGGGTGCAGGGCGGCGGGGGGAGCAGGCTGGGACCAGCCCGACCAATACCTGTTGCCCCTGTGGCAGCTGTGCTGGGCAGTGTCCTGGTGAGCCCGTGGGCAGAGTGAGTGGTCATTGCTTCACTGACCTACAGCGAGGCCTGACCGTTGGCCTGCCGGGGATGCCCTGGCTAGTTTCAGCATTTAACAGTGTAGAGTCGGTTCTTGGCTCCTGAGCCGTCCATACCGGGTGGGCTGGGGCTGCTCTATGGCCACAGCGTGCGGCCTTGCACTTCTGTCGGTCGTCCTCAGGCTGGGGCGCGCAGACACGCACGGAACCTCGGGAGAGCAGAGCGGGGCCCACGGGGTGGAGGGGCTGTGGCCGTGGTCCCGCCCACCCCAGTACTCCTCATGGGGCAGCAGGCCCTGCTGGACACCTTGGGAAAGGGGTCCCCGGGGCGCTGCAGGGCCGGAGCGCTCTGCGACCCTGCTCCCGGTGGGCACGGCCCCTCGGCCTGCTCACCACCCTCCAGGTGCATACCTGGGAGCATGAGGGTTGGTGCTGCTGCAGCGAGCATGCTGGCCAGAGGGGCGTTTCCTGCTGCCGGCTTCTCCAGGGTGCCTGGGAAGTCGTAAGGTGCCCGTGATTGACTGATTTTGGGAACGTGTACTGTCTCGTCTTTCATCATTTATCATGTCCTGCATTTATACAGATACAGTTGACTTATTTCCACCAGGCCTGATTTCAGTGAGTTCCGACATCATTAGACACCGCTCTCCTTTGGAGCTTTTCTGGGACGCGGTTCCAGGGCGTGGAGGTGAGTGTGCCCATGGCGCCTTCCTACCGCCCCTGCTGTGCCCGCAGGTGGTCGCCGAGCACCCGGATGCATCTGCCGAGGAGATCGAAGAGCTGCTCGCGTCGCAGTGGAACATGCTCAATGAGAAGCAGAAGGCGCGCTATCACACCAAGTTTGCGCTCGTGGCTCCGCCCCAGTCTGAAGAAGACTCTGGTAACGGTGCCCCTGTGCCCGCGTCCTCTGCTGGGGCTGCCCAGCGCACGCGGTCACGAGAAAGCCCCGCGAGCGCGCTGTTGCCGGAGCCGTGCGGCAGGCGTGTGATGGAGGCAGGCAGCCCACGCGGCCTCCCAGGCCAGACGCGCGCCTGCTGGGCCAGGCTCAGGCCTCCTGGTGGGGGCTGCGCCTGCCCACCACACTCCTGGGCCAGGGCTGTGGGCTTGGGAGCTCGCCGGGTGAGGAGGTTGGCCATGGCCTGGTGGTGGGTGTGGGCAGCCTCTGGTTGTCGGTGTGAAAAAGCAAAGTGCCCCTCCGCCCTGGGCCCTCATAAGAGGAGGGAGGATTCACACGGAGCCTGGGGACATGTGTGCTGCATCAGGCGTGCCATCTGCGTGCTGGACGCCCACGCTGGGGACGGACACCCCTGATGTGGATGTAAGTGGGCATGTTCGGGTGTCAGTTGAAATACAGAAGAAGCCTACGTCTCTTGAGGCTCGTTCCTGAGGCGCTTTGGAGAGGCCAGGTGCAGGGCGTGCGTGTGGGGGCCAGAGGCCAGCTCAGGAGGAGGGGGCCGCCTGCCCGTGTGCCCCAGTGGCCGCACCCTGGTTGGCGGGCTCTAGACCCCACAGCACCGTCCAGTGACAGCAGTAGTAAACTCTGCTCATGTGTGCAGAGTTGGTTGCAGATGCTACAATTCAGAATAGCAGGATGTTTAGGGTTTGTGTATTTTTTTTTAAAGGCCGACGTTTACCAGACAGTTCATCAGTGCGTAAATCTAGGAAAGTGTCCCTTTCCAGTGACTGCTGACTTAAGAATAGGTTGGCTTTACTGAAGCCAGAGTCTGCTCACCCCTGAGGGGTGAGTGTGACCTGAATATCCGCTCTGTCACCGAGGACCATCTGCGTAATGGGCAGGTGCGGTCCCTGCCCCCGGGATGTCCAGTCTGTTTGCCCTGCTGGCCTCGAGCCCTCCCGCACGGCCGACGCCCAGGACTCTGGGCCAGGCGCGGCGCCCGCCGTCCTGTCCTGTCGGTGCTGGCTTCACAGGTGCCCCTCCTGCTTGTTTCCGTGAGAGACGCCCTGGCAAGGGGAGGGCCTCCTTGATGGGGAAGGACAGTGACTTCACCACCCTGGGGGTTCTTTGCCTGGTGTGCAGATGCTGAGGGGTCCTGGCAGCTCAGGCCAACCTTGGCCCTTGCTGGTTCCCATCAGGCAGCAGCTCGGTGGGCCCCACCAGCCACGGCTCTGCAGGCCTCTCCTGGTGTTCCCTGAGGCCACCCGGTGCTGTGCTGGCCCAGAGCTCGGCGAAGGCTGCTCTGGCCGGTTCAGCCGGTCTGGGTCCAGCGCTGGTGACGCCGGCGTGGCTCTCTGCGCACACTGTCAGGCCTGCATGTTGAGCAGGGCCTCCGGATGCAGGGACCTGAGCCTCTGGCCACTGTACCCTGCGGCCCCGGCAGGGCTTGAGGGCGACGGTGCCCTCCCACGGGATGCCGGTGGGAGGCGAACAGTCCAGGAGGAAACCCTGAATCTCTGTGATGCGCTCCTGCACATGCAAGTCCTGGGTTTGCATTGAGTAGACCTTGGCGTGCTCAGATCAGCCCTCTCTCTAGACCTGCACTCTCACCCTACGTCTTAGCTTTCTGTCAGTGCTGTTTGGACCCCTTAAGTCTCGGGTCAGGTGGTCACCCTGAGGACACCTAATGTGCACTGTCCGCAATTGCGTAGAAAGTGCTTAGTTTGCAGATGGACGTGTTTTCCTTAAGATGCTTCTTTAAGGAAATGTGTTAAAAGTAGCAGGTCGTTTATATTTTTTAAGTTCGACTTAAATTCTACTAGTCTTTGAACGTAAGTGAAGGATTTTCTCAAATTCCTGGGTACATTTATGCTGTGTAACAGATAGCAGGATGCTCGCCTCTGGATGAGGTCAGGGTTTCTGCTCGCCATGTGGGACGTGCCCAGAGCTCCACCTGTGACCCTTGGGCCCGGAAACGAGCAGGGTTTCGGGGAGCCCGTCACAGCTGGACCTGCACCTGAGCGCGCTGGGCGGCTGCTTGGCGCCCTAGAGGGTGGTTTGTGGAAGGGTTTTAACGTCGGTTTCCCCATCCCCATCCCAAGGTAACTTAAATGGGAAGAAAAGAAACCACACAAAGAGGACCCAGGACCTGAGCGAAGACGCTGACGTTGAGGAGGCCCCCAGGAAGAGGCTGAGGACCGACAGGCACGGCCTGCGGAAGGTAGCTGCACCGGGCTGAGCCGCGGGGGTGTCCTTGGGGAGCGCTTTCCTGGAGGCCGCTAAGCAGAGCAAGCATTTGTCCGCCAGGGGATTCAGCAGGTCTGAACACTGAGTAACACTGGATGTTTTTGAGTCAGCAAAATCGCATGTTTAAAGTGACTCTTCAGTGAAGGCTGTGTTAGTCCATGTGTAAATACTGAGTTGACAGATGAACGTCAAAGTTCACTATCTATGTTAGTCTTCAACAAGAAGTTGAAAAATCCATTAAAAGTAGGTTTTATGTACTCATCCCGTTTATTAGTAATTCCTGTAATTGTGTACATAATCAGGAATACTAGGCAGGCTGTGCAGACCAGTTTGGTGCAGTTTTGTGCAGCAGTGAGGTACCGATGTAAAGGCAGCCCCAGGACCTGCTCAGCGGGGGCTGGTGTTGTCCAGGGCAGGGCCGACCTGCAGCCTGGAGGAGCGCGGAGCTGACCGAGGCCCGGGCACTCAGGGAGCCGGGCCTGCCGCGTCCGGTGCTGGTGCTCGCGCGTGAGGAGCACGCGGGCCGTGCCAGGTGCTCTGTCATGGGACCCAGGTAGGGGGTTTATCTAATGGTAGTTCCTCCAGGGTAGTTGTACTCTGATTTGTCATTTTGAATGTGACTTTAAACTGTCCTTTTTTGGCTCTGCTGTGCGGCTTGTGGGGTCTTCGTGGTGGGATGTGAGATCTTATTTCCCCAACCACAGATTGAACCCAGGCCCCCTGCCATGGAATAACCAGCGGACTGCCAGGGAATTTCCCAAACTGTCTTTCACTGATCTGAATCGAGAAGTTGTTCTTTTTATTGTTTTATTTCAAAGAATGGAAAATAAATCCCATGTATTGCTCAAGCACAGAAATGTAGCCACCACATCATCTGTCTTATTTCTTTAAAGGTGTATTTGCAGTTCAGGGGAGCAGGCAGGCCCCGCCCCACTCTACTGGTTCAGAGAGCGTTGTCCCAGGGCCCTTGCTGGCTCCAGCAGTGAGCTAGCTAATGAGCCAGGTGACCCCCACACTCAGCCGCCCGTGTCCAGTGACTAGGGCCTGGGCTGAGGGTCTCCTCCGGCTGCTGCCTTGGAAGTGGTCCTTTGCTGGCAACCACGCAGACACTGGTTGCTTTGGAATATTTGTATAAGTCATTTACCTAAAAAAGAGTGTGACCCCGGACTTTTGAAATATCAAAATTCATATTAAGTAGCTAGATAGAAATTTACTAACTAGTAGCTCAGGAAGTAGTGCGTGATTTTAAACAGTGCTGCTGTTGGTTCGGTTTGTACGAAGCTCACTGAGCCACCTCATGTGTCGTCCCCAGTGCGCCCTGAGCGCTGGGACAGCCAGGGCGCGTGCTGCGTGCCGCGCCTGCCGCTGGGTCCCCGCGCCCACATCCCCGCTGGGGTCCACAGCCTCCTGGGGTAGCGGTGCCATGGTGCTGTCCAGACCACGTTGTTATTTGAGCGCTAGACACATGTTCATGATACTTTTTAAAATTCTTTTTTGCTATTCTGTTGTGAAATGTGTCTTTTGATGGTCTCTGTGTGTGAGCTTTATGTGGAGCTGGCCTCAGAACCGGAAACCATCAGTGAGAGGGTGGAGTTATCCTGGGCTTGCCCTCGAGTAGGAGTGTGGCTCCTCTGAGTCAGTCTGCTGCAGTCCGCAGACAGGGTGGGCAGTGCGCCGAGGAGGCCCGACGGGAGGCTCTCCGCGTGCGTGGGGTGGGGTGGGGTGGGCAGGGGACCGGCCCCTGTGGGTGGAGAGGGTCGGTGGGCAGCCGCACGGTGCGTGTGTGGAGCGCGCGTCCACAGGAGTGCTTCTGCAGTGCGGCCTTCCAGCCACTGTGCTAGTTCCCATTGGAGACTTCCTTTCTCTTTTTGCTTTATCTTTGTTCTTCCCTCCTTCTTCCCTCTCTCCTTGTTTTTTCGTAACAGAGAGAGATGATCACTGACAAAACAGCCCGCACGAACTCTTGCAAGGCCCTTGAGGCAGCGTCCTCGCTGAAGAGCCAGGCAGGTAATGTGGTCAGCACTGCTGCCAGGCCCCCGGCTGGGCTGGGGGTGCAGCGCCAGCCCTGACCTCAGGGAGCCTCCCTGGGGGCAGGGGTGGCGGGTGAGCGGGAGGCCGGGCCTGGAGGCTGAGCTGGAAGGAGGCGCCCGTGCTGCAGGGCCCTTGCTCTGGTGGGAAATCCCTGCAGTGCTTGTCCGCTGCTCACCCAAGTTGCTCTTCTGACTTCTACTCGGCTTTACTGTCTTCAGTTTAAAGTCATATTGGAAACGTGATTCAGATCAGAAATGTCCAGGCTTGTGACTTGATGGTACTAGCTGTTGTGGTAAATTCCACTGTTTTAGTACCCGGTCTCCATGTGTATTTGCTAAAGTGAAAGTAATGACTAATTATCTGTTTTATGTGTTGAAGAAATTAGCTTAAAAAATGTGGGAAAAATAACTGTCAAAATAATAAAGAGGAACAGGCCACCTTTTTTTTTTTTTAACCTTTTCATTAATTATGTTTTTGATGTATCTGTCTGAAGAAAGCTTACCATCTCCAAATCTTAATTTAAAAGGAAAATAAAATTCAGAGTAAGAGGAGATTGAAAGTGGTTCTTCTCCTTATTTTGCATAAAGAACTATACTGGTTTTTAAAAGTGAATTGAACAGACTTTTTTTAAAAAACAAAACAAAACAGGTATTTGTAAGTAGTTTGAACAGAATGGATATTTGATAATAGAATTGATAGTTTTGAGTGTGATAGTGGTATTGTTACATTGACTGCCTTCTGTTCAGAGATGCTAACTCCTTGTGGGTGAGATGATCTGTCGGGGCTTGGCTGCAGACAGACTGGCAGGGGGACTGGCGCCAGGTGTGGGTGGGCTGGCGGGGCCCAGGCCGAGCTTCGGGCTCTTCACCGCCCAGCTCACCAGCCCTCATTGTCCTACAGCAAAGAGTTAGCGCCCAGAAAATTCATCTTTAGAACTTCAGTTATTAGAGGGGTACTTTGAAAGGAGGAGGGAGACTGAAGGTTTAAGGTTTCAAACTTTATTTTATAAACCGAAATTATCTTACAGCCGCGAAACACCTGTCTGATGCCTGCAAGCCCCTGAAGAAGCGCCACCGGGCCCCCGCAGCAACCGCCACCACCCTCACCTTTAGCAAAAGCTCGTCTCCTTCCGCGTCCTTAACTGAGAACGAGGTAAAATCTTAATGAGGGTGGTCAGCACGCACTCATATGGAGGCTGTGTAGTTGCTCACGTTGAAGTGTGGTAGAGGTCAGAGCTGATCAGTGAACGCTAGGTTCTCTGGGCTGTGTGTGCTTCATATAGAAACACGCGCAGTGTGAGTTGCTCATGCGTGGCTGCATTTCAGTATGGATGCATTTCATTGTGCTTGGAATCTGTCTTCAAGATGTCGGTCTGTGATGTCCCACACGGTCCTGAGCTGGCCCGCGCTGGCGGACTGCCTGCGGGCCGAGGGCAGCCACCCGCACGGAGGGCAGGCGCGTGTGCAGGCCCCGTGCGTCCGTGGCCGCGGGCCCCCAGCTGCCTGCGTAGCCTGGCGTGCTGTTCAGTGCTCGTGGCGAGGTGAATCAGGGCTGCCGTGGCCCCCCTTTCTGGGCCTGGTGGTCCGCGCTGTGGACGGAGCCGCTCGAGCTCTCACACCCGCAGGCCAGGGCACCCCCGTCAGGCCTGCCTCTTCGCATGACAGAAACCAGACGGAGGCAACCCCCAGATGGAGGTCTGGTCTTTTTTTGTGCAGAGGGAGTTTGGGATTCCCAGTTTCAGGACTGCCCAAGGAGCTTATTTTCAGGCTGAAGCGTCTGGTGATCTTGATCCCTGTGGTCCTTCCCTCGTTGTGGACATGAGTCCTGTCTCCAGAACGTCTTTGAAGAGACATTCACCTTGGGCTGTTTTGGGACAGGGTTGTAAGGGAGCAGGTGGGTCAGGAGTTAGCACTGCTGACGTGGCCTCCGCTGCGGGCTGTGGTGGGGATGCTCGGGTGCCCGTGCCCGTTAGAGGCGGGCAGGCCTTCTGGGGCGAGGGCTCTGCCGGTGCTCAGGCCGATGGGCAGCCGGGGGTCGCAGGGCTGGGACGGCGCCCTGCGGGCCTGTGTGGGCTCGGCTCCCTGTCGTTGAGCCAGCGCAGGTGAGGCAGTGTTTCTCCAGACATGGCAGGAGCCTGCCTCACTGCGGCCCTGGAGCTGACTGACACATGGAAAGGCAGGCTCCGTACAGAGCTTTTTCCTGGTTTTCTTGTCCACGTATCCTCACGCTAAATAAGAGGTGGTCTGCAGCTTCAAAGGGGAGGGATACTAAAAGTTTCAGGTCTATAGACCGGTTCTCTTCAGTTAGCTGTTTTGTCAAAGAACTTTTTAATGAGTTTTTCTGGTTTCATACTTTGGCCAATTATTTGGTGGGGTTTTTTTACTTCTACTGTTGAGCGATACCATCAACAGAAACGCATGAGGTCACCGAGGTCTCATCTCCCTGTTCCTCGTCATGAGGCCTGTGGGTCAGAGGTGCGGACCTGGAGCAGCGCCCCAGGGTGGCGGGTGGAGGGCAGGACGTCTGTCAGGGGCCCCGGGTTGCTTTGGACCAGGGCGATCCTTGTCTCTCTGGCTGAGACATCTGGTCTGAGCTTGGGAAGACTGACAGAGCATTTTACAGTCATTAGACTTAATTAATTTTTAATTATTTGGAACTTCAGAAGTAGATAGGTTATTAAATACCTATATATTATGTATTAAACACATTGAGATGATACATGCATACACCGTTTTGCATTTTGAAGGTGATACATAGATTCCATAGTGTGCATTCTGTCCCTTACATAAAAACATTTAGATCACTAGGCTTTCTCAGCCACTTCTGTGCAGCACATATCAATCTCACATTAGAGTTCATTTTTACAGAATTGGACTGCTTGTTAGAATTCACTTTAGGTGAGCTAGAAGGCTTGTCTGTGTCCGTGTTAACACTACTGAACTCCAGTGTGCATTCACAATGTCGGCCAGGCTAAGTGCCTTTTTTAAGTACGAGAGGCACTGTAGTGTGTAAAGAAACCCTCTAAGCCACCGACTCCGACTCCGGTGGGCCCTGGGTGACCGTGGGACTGCTGTTGTCAGGGCTCAGACGGCCCCGTTCGGGGTGAGTCACGTGCCCTTTGCGTGTTTACAGTTTCTCCTTTCACTGCCATTGACTAAAATAAGGAGTTTTCACAGGGTTGGTATTTCCAGACATTTTAGGTCATGCTGCGGTCTAAATTCCTCTCAAACAGGTGTGTGTGGCCAGTCAGGCTCACAGCAGAGCAGTCCTTCTGCAGCAGTGCTGCAGCCGGTAAGGACAGATGACGCCCATGCGCTTGCATGGCAGAGGCCTGGGGAGAGTCAATGTGATATAAGTGTTTTGTAATTTCGTTTCTAATTCCCTTAGTAGAGCAAATTTTTATTTTTTTCGCCTTCATGGTAACAGCTTTTGTGGGAGCCACATCAGCCAAGCTGGATTTGAACTCGGCTGCTCTGTGCTGCACTTAACGCGCTGTAGTTTTCCGAGATGTCTGCTGCAGGCGGCGCGCCATCGTGCACACTGGCGGCGCTGCTTTCAGTCAGTTATGAAGACGTGTGATAGTCTGTCTCACTGGCACTAATAACACACACAGTGGAGAAAGCAGATAACAAATGTTGAGACCAAGGTAAGACGCCTGATCAAGGCCATGTAACCAGTCACACCCATCTCATGACAGAAGCACGCTCATTCTCCAGTGGTCGAGAGGGTGCCCTTGGCCAGGGGCTGTCCTGGGCCTGCGACAGGGACAGCACACTGAAGGGGTTCCTTCTGTTAGAGGTCGTTTTTCTCCTGAGTTCATAACTTTCTGAATTTTTATTGAAAAAAATGTCAGCATCTGTACCTTCAAAAACAAAGAACAAACAGCACACTTTAAAAAGAGTCCTGGTTGACTGTTCTCATTGCTAATGGAATGTATTCAATCCTGTAGATAGCAAACTAATTTCCAACATAAAAGGCAGGAAGACTTTTGATTCTGTCTTTTTTTACTAAACAGTTTTACTATGACACTAGCTGTAGTAAATTTATAGGAAAAACTGTCGTTTGCAATATCGCTGTGAACCATTTAATCTCCTGATTCAGTAACCGTTCTCTAGGGGTCCTGTCACCAGGTTACTCACACCCACCTCTCCCTCGGTTGCTTTTGTGGAATGTGGGCCATCACGTTAAATGTCTCAGTCTTGGGCAGCCACCTGGTGTGCCCCAGGGGCCCGCGCGTCCACATAGTGGGGAGAGGCCTGTGTGCCTGTCAGCTCACAGAGGCGGGGGCCTCTTCACGTTACCAGGCTCGTAGCACTTGACTCATGCTGAGCAGACGCTTCAGATGTGTTTTACGTTTAACGAGTTTCTCACTGATACTTGTATTCTAAACCATTAAGTAATGTACCGCATGTAAAATACTTGGGGTGCTTGGCACCTTGCAAGGACTTAGTGGTTCGCTATTGTGACAAAAATGGTTATAACAATAAAAATAATAAAATCATCATCCATTCCATTTTTATCCAAAAGTATAAATTTTGCTTTGGCATGCAAAGTGGTCCTCGGGACTGCACGATGCTCATGGGGCTGAAGTAGACCCAGAGGCAGCGTGTACTGGGTGTGGCCCTGTTTTGGGTGCGGCCTGCGGCTGGCCAGCGACCCTGCTCAGACATAGCGGGATGTGGGCCTCCAGGATGGTCGCAGTCACGCGGCTCCTAACGGAATGGTGGAGGATTCCCCGAAACCAGTCACTAAATTGTAAAATGTCAAAAAACAGTGGTGTAAAAATGACCAAAAAGCTACCACCCAGAGTAAAACGTCCTCCTGGAGGCCTGTGACAAGAGTTAAGAGGCTCATGGGAGAGGATGGCTTGAGGAAGTTTGAGTTGTAGCCAGCCTGCCAACTGCCAGCACGTGACAGATGCAGTCGGAGTCGGCCACAGGCGAGCCTCCCTCTGATGGGGAGGGCTCAGTGTGCCCCACGAGCAGCATAGTCTGCACCAGCGGAGTGGGGAGGGCGCGTGGGGCAGGCGTGAGGCCACGCGGTGAACCTCGGCTGGGACGTCGGAAGGGTGGCCAGTGGGAAGGGCGGCTGTGTCTGCTCCGGATGCAGTGGCGTCTCGCTTTGGGGTGCTGGGGGAGCCGAGCTCCCCAGAGGGTGTTCTAGCTTCTGCAGGAGCTGAGTGGTTGGGGCTCCTGGTTGGAGAGACCTTAGAGATGAGCAGTAGTGTGTGTGGGAGTGCAGATGGACTGCGTGCTGTGTAACATGGGCGGTCCTCACTTCCTGAAGTCAGAGTTATGCTGTTTGTTTCTGCCTGTTGTTGAGGTGAATCTGGTTACACTGTGTACAAGGTCCCTGCCGTGACCACCCCTTCCACACCCTACACCTGTGTTGGCAAAGTAGGAGGCCAGAGGTGGAGGCCATTCCAGAAACAGAGGGGCCCTGAGATTGCAGTGCAGCGGCCCCCTGCCACCCGCAGGCTCCTCTCCTCTCTGCCCTTCTGTGAGACGTCCTCGTGGGGGTCAGGGGAGGTTGCATCTCACCACTCTCCAGTATCTCGTGTCTCTGCACCTCCGGGCTGAGAGTAAACGCACAGCAGAGGGTGTCTCTTGCAGGGCGTGTCCGCCCCCACCCCCACTCTTCAGGGAGAGCTAGACTGCCCTCCAGGTGATCTCTGGGAGGCCAGCCCCGTGGCATTCCTGGAAGTCCATGCAGAAGTGTAGGAATGTTCTAGGCGGAGTGCTCAGGTCCATGGAGGGGGACAAGGGTGGCCAGTTCAGAAGGCCAGGGGGCCAGGTGGATGGGAGCAGCTGGACACAGCGGAGGAAGCGCGGAGGAGGGGGAGGCCTGCCACCCCTGGGTCTCTGGGCCCAGCTGCTCGTCTGGCCAGACCAGGGCGGCTCTCACACCCACTGAGTCTCAGAGATGGTGTAAAGAAGAAAACTCAGACTGTCAACTAGCATCTAGATCCAGAAACATGAAAGGTGCCCATGTATGAGCTTAAAGTTAGGGTTCTCTCCCCAAAGAGAGTTGTGAGTGGACATTTGCCCTGCTGTGGCAGACGGAGTGCTGAGACTTTGTCCCTTTCAGTAACAATGTGAGCATTTTGAGTGCGGAGCGTCCTCCGCTGATCGGGCAGTACCAGCTTGGCGGGTGCTCCTGGAGGGCTTGGGCAGGTGAGCACGGCCCAGCTGAGCAAGAAAGTAGTCCTTCCCTGGAGGAGAGGGGGCGGCAGACACAACCACTGTGGTTTCGGCAAGTTGACTTGACTTCCTTTCCATTTGGCTTCTAACGTCACAGCTTCTGAGACACATCTGTCTCCTTTAGTTATCAGTTCACTGTTAAGTTTGTTCTGGTCAGGGATTTGTGTGTGTTTAGACTGGATGAGAGCTGCCTTGACTCAGTGTGAAACTAGCATTTATGCTTTTAAAATCAATGGTTTCATCACCTCAGCTTTTAAAAATCTGTGAACAGAAGTGATTTCTGAGGACTCAGTTTATCTATTAGATTAGGAACCTAAATTACAGTCTTTATGCTGAAAGAGTTGAAATACTACTGTCTCATTAGAAAAGGCTTCTCAAAATGCTCTCAAATCTATGATTGGCTTTCAGTGTTTTTTCCCAAGAAATATGCTGACTCCTGTATATTTTAGGATTTTTGGTCAGTGAAATTGAGTTTCATCCTTCTAAGTACTGTTTTTGCTGTTTTACGTAGAATATTAGAAGTTACTACTGACTTACTTGCCAGTGGTGAGACGTTGACCGTCTTCCGCAGGTAGCTACCTGTGTTGGATCCACGTTTACGGCTTTCTCTGGCCTCGGTGTAGGTGTGGGGTCTTTGCACATAATTCTTTAGTGCGTGTTTGGAAGCGTGTACTAACCACTTATTCAGGGCATCTTGCACCTTGCAGAAATGACGGGGTGGGGGCAACAGTGGGGGGGACTCGGGGGCTCAGCCTCTGCTGCCAGCTGCCAGCCAGGCCTCCCCAGCGGCCCTCCCCAGTCCACTCTGCGGGTGGCAGCTGCTGGGGACACAGCTGGGACCACACCAGGTTCACAGGACGTTGTAGAGATTCCTTTTCACCTGTGACGAGGGCCGGCCTTGAATGTGGAGTAGCAGCCCCACAACCTGCCAGGGCACCTTTGGGGGCTGTTGGGGCTCCCGGGGCCGCTGGTCAGACGGTGGTGTGAGGACAGGGCCAGGGTGTGTGCTCTCCCGACTCAGACCTGGGCTCGGGGCAGCGAGGAAGGGTCGCTGTAATACATGTTCAATAACTTCTGTTTGCATTGTAGCACTTCAGGTGATGAATGACTAACTTATGAATTATTTTAATTCCACCCTAATACTTCACTGTGATGTCAACTTGGAAGACCTGTTTGAGATTAGTCTTTTGGTTTTAAGCTCATTAAGGTTCCCGGGCACAGGAGTCGTATCACTTGTCAACCCTCACCCTCTGTGAACGTGCGTCTAGTGATCTGTTTCCCCCTTTACAAAAGCGTAACTCAAAAAAGTAATGTTGGTTTATAGAAATATGTTGTTCAAGGTCTGTAATTGTATTTAAACTGATGTAGTGTCAACTTGTGAAGGGATGTTTGTTAAAAAGATTTGAACCTCACTGTGTAACGCTGTCCGAGCGTAGGGCCTGCCTGGGACTCCCGAGTCGCTTCTAGAAGCTGGTTCGCCTGTTCCCTAGGCACACGTGTCCGTTCGTGTCTCGCTGACAAGGCCCTGGCACGCTCCAGAGACCGCACCGGCCCACAGGAGCATGTCCCTGCCACGGGGCACGTAGGTAGCGGGTGTGCGTGGGGGGCAGCTGCGCCCGCCGCCTGGCCCTGGGCGTCTCTCCCAGCGCCTCCTGTTGGATGTGGAGCCCACCCTAGAGGTCGTAGCCTGAGAGTTGGGACTGTGTTGGGACCGTGCAGGTGAATGTGTCTCCGAGTAAGCCCGGCCCTGGTGCCCTGGAGGTGGAGCTGCAGCCAGAGCCGGTGCCGCCCGCTCCGCCCTCGTGCGTCAGACCCCGGCTGGCGCGCTCCGCCCTCGTGCGTCAGATCCCGGCCGGCGCGCGGGGGCCTTGGGCGCGGGCAGGGGCGCGCTGGGATGCCAGCGGACCCTCCCCACCTGCCACGGACTGCACTGTTGTAAGGTCTGCTGCTGTATGTGTACCTTAGAGCCCGGCAGAAAACGCGCCTCCTGTGTGTCTTGAACATTTATATTAACATTCAAAAATATGTACTCAGTGTTTATTTCTTCAAACCAGACTTTGTTAATTTAGGAATATCTCCCAAGTGGAAACGTGGTCACTTTTTCTGTAAATCTTAAATAAAAGGTGCTGTTCCTTCCTTTGACCCTGGACTGGTCTGTGTTTTCTGTCTTTCTCTCCGTGCATTTTTTTTTTTTAAGCTTTTAGATTTGTTGCAGCCTTGTCGAGGGGAGGACCTGGGTGGTGGGTCAGGCACCGGACTTGTCCCCGGAGCCCCCGTGAAGGGCCTCCCGCGGGTCGGTTTTCAGGCGGCTGCGTGGGGCCAGGGCCAGGGGACCGCTGCCCACCTGCTGCCTGGCGCCTCTGCAGACCCATCTGGGCAGGGGCTCGGCCTGTTGGTGCCTCTGATGCACACGTCAAACAGGGTTTGCACTCAGGGCGTTCTCCTGGCTGCCTTCTCTGGGGCACCAGTGTGGAGGAGGAGGTGGTGAGCCGTAGGAAGGGCCTCAGGCAACAGTGCCCGTCCACGCCGTCTCCTTCCTGTGGGAGAAGGTGGGGAAATCAAGGGAACAGGCTGCTTTCTCTGGAGACGGGGCTCTGTCAGCCCTAGGCACCTGGCCAGGCTGGCACGGGGGCTCACACCCGGCAGCCGCCCTCAGATGCCAGGCAGCCTGCAAACCCCAGAGAGGTCAACACACCTTAACTTCGGGTTTCAAGTCAGCAGAAGCCCCTTTGTTCATCAGGGCTTTTTCCTTCCGCTGCACCCTGTCATTTCAGGGAGGTAAACCTGGCAAAGTGCCACTGAAAAAGCTCCAGAATTGGATGAACTGGCTGCTGGGGTTTGTTTTGTTGGTTTTTTTTTTTAAAAAAGAAACGTGACCCGATTGAGTTTCTAGTTCTGTGTTCTTGGTAAATAGCAAGACTGGGTCATAATTACTTGTTGCTGTGGTTATTGAGGTGACCAGGAAATTAGCTTATTACTTCTGCTCTGCTGAAAATTCAGTTTTCAGTGTTTATTTGCCTAACATCTGGTAAATACTAAATGTATTTTTTAGGCTTTAAAAATTTTGAATTTAAGGTTTCTGATTAAAGATTGGTTTCTATCCATAAAGATTTGCTGTTGCTGGTCTTGTGAGGGAAAGGCTGTGTCCAGCGGCAGGAAGGGGCCCTCGCCCGCCTCTCCCAGAGACTGCCCCCCTGCCCCTCCGCAGGGATGAGGCCGTGGGAGGGGGCGGGCGGGGCTCTCGGTCTGTTACCGGGCGCGATGGCCCCAGCTCTGGGGGAGCACGCGTTGTAGCCACGCGTCCCGAGTTGCTGCCCATCCGACCACAGCAGGAGTGAGACGTGATTCTGCCTCAGAGGCCCGCATCTGACAGTGTTGGCTGTGGACACGTCTCTCTTAGCCTAAGATCCCTGACCCTTTTTAGATCGGGTAAGAAAAGGCAAGCTCGTCGGCTCCCCGCCCGTCCTAACTCACCTGTAAAAGCAAACTGGGTTTTCAAAAAAGTTACTTTGTTTTTAAGGAACGTGGCGAGATGTGGCGCGCGTGCTCCACACCGTGACCTGGACACCAGGCGGGGGCCCTTCCCCATGTGTGCAGGCGCGCAGCGGGCCCACGCCCAGGGGGAGCCGGCGGGGCTGCTGGCGGCCACTGTGAACTGTCGTCCGCCTCCTTCCTCCCAGGTCTCGGACGGCCCCGGAGACGACCCCCCGGAGTCCCCGGACGAGAGCGCGGACGAAACCCAGACCGAGGCGTCCGTCTCTTCTAAGAGGTCCGAGCGGGGAGCCACGGCCAGGAAGGAGCACGTGTGCCAGGTGAGGTGCAGGGCCGGGGGCCGGGGCGGCCTCCCTCCGCCAGGCCGGCGGGCGCGGGGACCCCCTGAACCTCCGGCCCTCTCCCCACAGCTGTGCGAGGAGCCGGGCAGCCTGGTGCTGTGCGAGGGCCCCTGCTGCGGCGCCTTCCACCTGGCCTGCCTGGGCCTCTCCCGCAGGCCGGAGGGGCGGCTCCTCTGTGGCGAGTGCAGCTCAGGTACGCCCCGCCCCGCCCCACCCCCCGCCCGCCGTCTCTGCCTCCCGGTTTGCTGCCCGGTCTGGGGAGGGGCGTGGACGGCTCAGGCGGCTGAAGTCATGGTCCACCTCCTCTTCCCTGGCCGGGCCGAGGGTGTCTGGACTCCTCGGAACGGTCCAGTTGTTGGAACTCCCGGCGCTGGCTGTGGGGCGCCGTCCCTGCTAGTGCTCACGGGTCGTCCCCTTGGAAGGAGACGAGAGCGTTTCTTGGAGGAGCCCCTTCCTGCAGCTGCTCGCCTGTTGGAGGGCGCGGCCCCTCCCAGGCAGCCTGGTCAGATCCCCGGGGGCAGGGCCCCCGAGGGCTGACGGACTGGAGGAGGAGCCGGTGCCCGCCCCGAGGCATGGCGGCTCAGCCCCGCTCTGCGCCCCTCTCGCCCCGGCCGCCAGGGATCCACTCGTGCTTTGTGTGTAAGGAGAGCAAGAGCGACGTCAAGCGCTGCGTGGTGTCGCAGTGCGGGAAGTTCTACCACGAGGCCTGCGTGCGCAGGTTCCCACTGACGGTGTTCGAGAGCCGGGGCTTCCGATGCCCGCTTCACAGCTGCCTGAGTTGCCACGCCTCCAACCCCTCGAACCCAAGGCCGTCGAAAGGTACAGGCGTGCAGGAGAAGCTCCGCGCGGGTGTGACAGGGTCCACGCCGTCGAGGGCGGGCGGGGGTGTCAGGCTTGTCCCCAAGAGCTTTGCCCCGGCATAGGTTTAGATACCTTCTGTCACTGACTGGACGCAAGTAGGGTTAGGGTTTTTCTTGCTGTTTTCCCTTCTTCCTGCCCTAAATGTCATCCTAACGATTGCTGACTTTAGAAAGGGGAGCCTGAGTGCTTTTGACAGATGTTATTTGTTCGGGCTTTGATGGACCTCGTGTGTAAGGACGGCATTTCCAAGTCCAGTCCCATCTGTGTCATGCCCTGTGGCGTCTGGGACTCAAGGGCAGTGGGTGTCTGCTCCCTGACACCAGCAGCCCTTGGCTAGGGACATGCGCTCCAGGGGGCGTAAGACCACATCTGGAGGCGTTGGGGGTCCCTGCTGGCGTGCACAGGGCAGCCCCCATGGGCCCCCGCTGGGCCACAGTGCCCAGGCTGAGACCCTGGTTGACCTCATTTTAGAAAACAGCATTAAGTGCTTGACAGTTTTCTGATACCTCGTTGAATCACCGTTGCCTAAGGAAATGTGTCTTTACAGTGCCTAATGATATTCTTACCCTCCCACCCAAGTCCCTGCTTTCTTCCGCTGCCTCCGGGGTATTTCCGCAGCAGCGCTTTGAGCCTGCGGAGGCCCAGGCCTGGCTGCCCTGCTGAGGTGTGGGGTGTGGCCATGTCCGCTCCAGGTAAGATGCTGCGGTGTGTCCGGTGCCCCGTCGCCTACCATGGAGGGGATGCGTGTCTGGCCGCGGGCTGCTCGGTGATTGCGTCCAACAGCATCATCTGCACGAACCACTTCACCGCCCGGAAGGGCAAGAGGCACCACGCGCACGTCAACGTGAGCTGGTGCTTCGTGTGCTCCAAAGGTGAGCCCCCCGGCCCCCGCACAGGCTCGTGGCTGCTGCTGGCTGTCCCGGGGCCGCATGCCAAGGGTCGGCCGTGACACCTCTCCAGCCCTGTCCACCCTCTGATGGCTTGTGTTTGCCCATGTAGTTGCATTCGTGGTCTCTGAGTTAACCATGGCGTGTCACAGACTCAGGATGGCTTTCGTGGTGAAAAGAAAGCGTGCTCCTGTGTGACGCAGATTCCGGGAGTCGGGGCGGGGGCTGGGGCTAAGGGCGCCCTTGTTGCAGGGGGGAGCCTGCTGTGCTGCGAGTCCTGCCCGGCGGCCTTCCACCCCGACTGCCTGAGCATCGAGATGCCGGACGGCAGCTGGTTCTGCAACGACTGCAGGGCCGGGAAGAAGCTGCACTTCCAGGACATCATCTGGGTGAAGCTCGGGAACTACAGGTGGGGGAGGAGGCGCCCGCCCGCCGCCGCGGTCACTGTCTTCTTTTCCTTTACAGAGCTGAACGCACTGAAATTCTGTCACTCTCTCTGAAGAGTCTGTGAACCCTGTTTTTAATATTTATAATAGATGGTGGCCGGCAGAAGTTTGCCATCCCAAAAATGTCCCCCCAAATATTCAGAAAATGAAGCACGAGGTTGGAGAATTCCCTGTGTTTTTCTTTGGGTCTAAAGATTATTACTGGACGCATCAGGCGCGAGTGTTCCCGTACATGGAGGGGGACCGGGGCAGCCGCTACCAGGGGGTCAGAGGGATCGGAAGAGTCTTCAAAAACGGTACGGGGCTCCGAGGGGCTGGGGACGGTGCTCGGGGGCCTCTGCTAATCCTGACTGCGCTTCTGTTGTTTGGTTTCTGTGGGAAGCGCTGGACACAGCGTTCTCTTCTAGCTGTAGCTTACATGTTTGTGGATGGGTTTGTTGAAGCAGAGGACAAGATGTGACGTTTAATAAGTTCCCTAACCTTGTTTGTTGGTGACTCCACTCGCGTGCATCAGAGCTCTCTTCGGGAGGCTGTCTTAGCAGTAGCTTGCAGGGACTTCTCCCGGCTTGCCCCGTGTGGGCGGGAGCACACGGCAGTCCGCGGCTGCTGCACCAGCTCTCGGGGCTCCCTTGACCCGTCAGCAGTCGCAGAGGTGCCTCCACCCCACAGCCGGGCAGGGGACAGAGGGGACAGAGTGCTGGCCTCGCTTGGGGGACGCAGGGGTCAGGAAGGGTGGCACGCGAGGGTGGCGGGGCCGTGGGGCCTGGGCACTCACCCCCTGGGGAGCCGCCCCTCCGCCCCTGCACGCGGCGCACCCAGGTTTCTCCAGGGTTGTTCAGGAGAGGTGGGCCAGGCGGGCGGCTGGGCAAGGGCAGGGTCAGCCCCCATGCCGGAGGCCCTGCAGAGCCCCCCGGTTCTTAAGCTGGCCGGTGTGCCCCTGTCTATGTGGGTGCCATGTGGCCTCCTCCTGGTTTAAGGAGACTAGAGACAATGCTTAGCAGCGAGATGAAAGTCTAGACAAAGTCACTAACATACAGACCGCAATGGGTGGACGTATCTATTTGTTAAAATCTTTTACTGGCATTCCACTAACTTTTTAGCACTGCAAGAAGCGG